TACAGGGCTGGATTTGATGGTTTCAGTTGTATATTTACACATGCTGGAGCATAATATATGGGGTGGAGTTATGTTAGGGGAAGGATTTAAAGTGTGTGTGTGTGAAGTTTGAGTGAGTGGAGTGACTGTGAGCGTGAGGGGAAGATTGTGCATTGAGTATTTAGTGGATAAGTTCATTTCAGCGTGTTTAGTGAGAGCTTTATTTGAGCATTTTTCTTCTACTTATAACACAAATACATAACAATGCTATCAAACACCAAATTCCATCTTCTAAACCAACAAAAATACACAGGTCTGGTTAGCAATAGTTATTGGTGATTCGGAAATTTACATATATACCACACAATTCTAATGCATTAACATATAAACACCCAAAATTTAATATTTACACATGTAACACCTTGGTTTTATAAACCTATGAATAAGAAGGTGTGTTTCACTTTAAGAAAATATTGATGGTGGTATTTTTGATGTAATGCTAAAGAATTGAGTGCTATGTATATAAAATATAAATGTTCAGATGTTAGATAAATACATAAGAATTTTGTGGAATGTGTAAATGCCATTTACAGCAATTGCAGGCATACCTTATTAGCTATGTTGTTAGAGAGCCAATCGTTTCAGGCAAAATGTGTTCAAAAGCTCGAGGACCCTACTCGTAGGGAGATGTTCATTGCACTACGACCCGAGATGCGCATTGAGTATTTACGTGTTATAGTTGAAGAATGAGTCAACTTTGTACTAATCTTTCATTAGACTTATCAAATATGTATTGTTATTACAGCAGCTACTCTTATTTTATGGTGCTATGTATTATCTGATTTTTTTCCCTATCTTCAGAAAATGTTGTCTCACTTATTTTTTACGCTACCTCTACCTATTTTCTTTCATCCTAATCTATTTATCATCTCAGGATGCACCCACTGCAAGACCGTCGCAAAAGAATGGCATGGGCTGCTGCTATAGCGATATTATTGCTGGAGTACTATCGCTCCAGTTATAGACGGATACCACGCATGACGTCCTCTTTTATTGGGGACAAATGGGTGGGTGAGATGCTTGCTGGACATCCGATAAGGTTCAGTAATATTTTCAGAATGACTGCGCCTATTTTTATCGATCTGCTACACGAGTTAAGTCGGAACCACCATCTACAAGGTTCTTCTAGAACAACAACGAGAGAGGTGTTGGCAATAACATTATATATGCTCTCACAGAATGAATCAGTTAGAGGAGCTATGGAGCGATTTCAACATTCATCAGAAACCATTAGTCGATACTTTTCCAAAGGTTTACAAGCACTGGTGAGCTTAGCAACACAGATCATCAAGCCAACGGATACATCGTTCGCAAATATTCCTGAACAAATTGCAAATGATTCTCGTTACATGCCGTATTTCAAAGTAAGTATTATTACCTTGTTACTTTAGTTCATTGACCTCTTCAGTTGCTAACTATGATGAACAGAATTGTATTGGAGCAATTGATGGCACTCATGTAGATGCCAGACTACCAAGTCACGAGAAGATCGCGTATATTGGTCGGAGTGGTACAACCACACAAAATGTTATGGCAGTGTGTGATTTCAACATGTGCTTCACATTTGTAATGGCGGGGTGGGAAGGAAGTGCGCATGATAGTCGCCTTTTCTCCTACGCCACTAGGAATAGAACACAGTGTTTCCCTCACCCACCTCCAGGTTTGTTCATTTTACTTAAAACCTCGCGAAAATTACATTAATTATTTTTAATTGGTACTGTCTTTAATAACAGGAAAGTATTATTTGGTAGACGCTGGATATCCGATGTTAAGAGGCTACCTAAAGCCATATCCAGACACAAGATACCATATTCCTGATTTCGAGCGAGCAAGTGGCAATATTCGTGGCAAAAAAGAAATGTTTAACAAGCGACACTCCGCTTTACGGGGGTTATTGAAAGAACTTTCGGGGTGTGGAAGAAGAAATGGGTAATTCTACGTGATATGCCATCCTATTCATTTCCTAAACAAGTGTATATTGTGTTGGCCACCATGGCACTTCACAACTTCATCCGACGTCACCCCTCTCATTCAGATACGGACTTCAATATCAGTGATGATGATGAAATTATTGATACTCTAGAACCTTCAGGATCTCTAGCTGATAATGAGATGGACTCGATTGAATATGAAACTCAGGATGGTGAGGGTGCAGTTGAGATGGCTGCTCTGAGGGAGTCTATAGCAGATGCTATATATGATAGCTAATCCAGCAAGTCTTTTCTCTGTTCCTACATTAATGTTAAATTTACTTTTATTTGGATAAGTACTAATATTTTTTTTTCACAGTTATACAAACATGACTGCTAGGATATCAAGTACAGACAGAGGTATTTTGTGTTATTGTGGTCTACCGGCTCCGTTGCTCACATCGCGTCAGTCTCGTAGCTTTGGGAGGCAGTTCTACGGTTGTGCCAAGGGTGTTTCAGCTCGTTGTGGGTTCTTCCGGTGGGCTGACAGTCCCTCATATGACACGGCCAGCAGTCATGGGAATCCGGTGTTTTCTGACTTTGACAGAGCAGATGAGGACAGACGTAGCCAGAGTCTGAAATTAAACATTTTAATATTTCTGATTCTAGTTGTACTCGTATTTGTACTTTTTTTAGTTATCTTGGTACTCATGAGGGTGTGAGTAATGTATGACATCTTCTACTTATGATCTGTGATGATTTCATGTTTCTGCATATGATCCAGTACTATCAGTAAGCTATTCTGAATAAGCTGCCCCAAACAGTTCTATTACAAAGGGGCATGAATGTCATTTAATCATCAATAAGCCATCTTGAATAAGCTGCCCCAAACAACAAGACAGATTATTCTGATAATCTGCAGATTATCAGATTATCAGAATAATCTGCTTATCAGCAGATTATTAATAATCAACAGCTGCGCCAAACAGACCCTTAGTCGTTGATCGGTTTTTGTGGTAAAGTTCTCGTGAGCGTTCTGAATGAGTTCAGGGGCACAGCCCCCGAAAGGTATTCAAAATTTAAGAGTTATTTTATCAAGCATATTTTTGGAATTTCACCCAAGTTTAACTTATAAATTGGATTACTTCTATTTGAAAGTTCCCCACATTATAATGGCCAACATTTATTATACTATAAGCCTAAATTACAGCTATTATATCAACCAAAGCTTGCAAAATAGGAAATCTACAACAGTACACCTGAATACAAAGATTTACAGCCATGCCACAATCTTTAAAATTTCAGCTTTATTGTCTATTTACAGCTGAAAATCCTTCTTCTTTTAGTATGTTCTGCATTGTCTGAGCTTAATCTTCAAATCAATCCGATCTTTTCTTTTGAAGTTTCTTAACTCAAACTAACCAATTAATCCTATCGATCAGGTCGTTGGTTCAAACGTGCTTCTAGGCCTCTCCATCGTGTTCTTCGCCGGAATCTGCTTCTCGCTCTTCTCTCCAGCATTCAATTTGGCCACAAATGACCAATGGCACACCCTAAAGAAGGGTGTGCCCCATCTCGTCGTCTATACGGCATTTTTCTACTTTGCAATCTCGAGTTTTGTCGTCGCAATTGCTCTAAATTTAGTGTTTCTTTACAGGCCCATTTTTGGGCTACCAAGATCGTCTTTTAAAGCTTACGTTCGGGATTGGAACGGCCGGCAATGGGCTCTTATCGGCGGTCTTCTTTGCGGGTTCGGAAATGGCTTTCAGTTCATGGGTGGCCAAACCGCTGGATATGCTGCAGCAGATGCTGTTCAGGTGAGCAACTACGGAATCAAAATGTAAACAATGTTAAAATTTAAAGATAGATAGAAGAGTTTAGAGAAATTTACATACATACCACACAGTTCTTATTTATTTATGTTTACGTATCCAAAGTTTAATATTTACACTTATAACAGCATGATGCAATAAACCTATGCATAAAAACGTGAATTTTACATTTAAAAAGAAGATGGTGGTGTATTCTCTTATGAGGTTTGAATGGCATGTATGTAAATATGAATGTTTAGGTGTTAGAAATGTAATGACATAAGAATTGTATGGTATGCATGCAAGTGCCTCTTAAGTTCATAATTTTCTCTCAATTTATTATTAAAGATTCTTACATGTAAACCACTCAATTCCTATATATTTACATATCCAACCACTAAACTACAATTTTTATATACATACCACCTTGCCTTTGCATAAAAAGATGTTTTTCATTGTTTTAAAGTTAAAATGGTGGATTTTTTTAATGCGATATGAAAGATTTGGGTATTATAAATGTAAGACATCAAGTTTAGGTGCTTGATATGTAAATACATAGTAATTGGATGGTATGTCTGTAAATTGTCAGTACATTATATGACATTAAAGAGTTTATTAGAAGAACTATGAATAACATGGTGAGCGCAACCTCCGAGTTTCACCACTGCAGGTGAGTAATTTAAAGATGCAACAAACTTTGATTGTAACTTGCTTTTTTGCTTGTGAAAGGAAATTAATCAGTGGCTTGATTTGAAATCTGATTAATTTTTCCCTTAACATAACAAAGTTTTTGTATCACACACTCTTAAAAGTGACTGCTTTATCCATGTAAGTTTGTTCTAGTTTGAGAATTATGAATATTATCTCATGAACAAACTATTGTTGCTCAGGCTTTACCACTTGTCAGCACTTTCTGGGGCATACTTCTTTTTGGCGAGTATCGAAAATCATCGAAAAAAACCTATATTTTGCTCGTAAGCATGCTGATTATGTTCGTCGTCGCTGTCGCCGTCCTAATGGCTTCTTCTGGACATAGAAAGCCTTGAAGTAACAGTGCTCTTTTGGTGCAGCAGCAAATGAGGAACTGAGTTGTTTTGCATTTCATGTGCTTCATCATGGAGTAAAAAACTGCTCTTTTGCTGCAACTTCAGAGTTAGTATCAATTCATCATAAATGAAATTTACAAGGCTGCTTTCAGTGGAGTAACAGTTCATCAATTCATCATAAATGTAATTCTTTGCTTTTGCAATATGCTTCTATGCCTCATGTGACCAATTTAATAGTTTGTATATGTTTGGAATGAATAACAGCTTGTTTTATTTGTAAGCAAGCTTGTGGTTCAAAGCTTCTTGTGGTTCAAAGCTTCTCTCTCTCTCTCTCTCAAAATCTGGCATGTGATATTGAAGAAATCATGATTTTGAAATAAAGGTGAATTTGTCATATTTTGAAGGTCGCATGGATTCGGGTGAGTTCATCGAGTGACTCAAGAGAGTATAACGTGTCTTTGAGTGCCAATACGTCCTCTTGGACGGAATGGTGAAATTCTACCAACAATTTAAGAAAAAGTGCACCTTTTTTGGTGAGAGATTTTGTAGATTCTTCGACAATGAAAATGGAATGGTAAAATTACTATATAGTGTTAGATAAAATAAGATATGCAGTGTTATGCCTACCGATTCTTTATAAACAGAATGTTCATACCCTAACTTCAAAAGTGGAAAGATTGCTATATTGGGTGACCGTCGCATCTTATAAACAAAGATGATCAAGTAGCAATAGCACGCCCAACAAAGTACCCAAACCGACTTCTCTTCACAGTGGAGAACAAGTGAAACAAAATCACATTCCTAAATCTAAATCACATTCCTAAATCTATCTTAGCTATGAAGTGTTTCAAGTGTCACAGATTTGGGCATATTGAATCATATTACCCAAATTGAAGAATGATCTCTTTCACTGATCACGGAGCAGTAAAGTAATAAACAACGATCCGAGAGAAGATTAAGATTTTAGGAGAATTTTCAAATTCTAGTAGGTGAGAAAGAGAGGACAATAATTCTAGTTGAACCTATGAGATAAACTCCAACGGTATTAACATTGGTTGTGCTAAAAGGTAGTGAGTGCAAGGTAATCAACGTTCATGTAGATTATGCAATTGTGGTGCCTCAAACACTTTTTGCAGACATTGAGGGGAGCATCAACGAGGCTTACATTGGATGTCCAAAAGAGCTATGAGTTTGAATAGTCGATACAAAACATAAGATAATCTCAAATAAAAGAATTTCATAATTTTGAGTTACAAAGACTACCTCTTGAGTTGCCCCTTCTCAGGAAGGGCCAACATCTCAGAAATGAAAGCACGTGAGCCACTTTTAGATGATTATATTGAGTTATTTGGGTATTAAAATTAATTTAGCAGTGTAACCCTAATAGATAATCATATAGGATCAATGACCATAATGTTGGAAATGACCTCAAGGTCTATGGGGGGAAAAACACTCTATAATGGGATTCGGGTCCTTTAAGAGTAAAAAAAAAAAGTGTCATCTCCTGAGTGGGTATGCTTCAGTGTGGTACATCCGTCATAATTTTTGCTTCATAGTTGCTTCCTCTTAACATGCTTATTTATTAAATACGCTCTACCGAGTACAATAAGTGTGATTAACAAATTATGAATTTAATGACTCGAGAGTTACTTTATGTGAATCTACATCTATATGCAGACCCAACTCATGTTATACAAAAGAATGATGCATACTTATTCTATCAAAATATGTTTTGGAATGACAACGCTGATAAGATTGACTTACCAAGAAGTTAAAATAACTCCACTATCTTCAATGGCTAATATGACACTGTATTATAAGGAGCTAAAAGCTTTGGCGAAGTAAAATCTACTCTGAGCCTGGGAGACTGATGAAGGGCGTGAAGCGTCGGAGATGCAACAACATCAGTACGCGACAACAGTTACGAGACTCTCTTTTCCATGAGAATCAGACAGCCATGTCACACGAGTAGGACAAAATTGAATCGAACATTGTTGCTTTTGTTGTATTTCTATTTATGGATAGTTTTCTTGTTTTCTTTTTTTTTAATCATTTTCTATATATGTGTTGTATTAAAGTTTGAATTTCAATATTTTTTGTATTGTTGTTCAAGACATTCGTCGGTGTCCATACTTCCCCTTATAAGGTCATATCCAAGGGCGAGTGGTGCTCCAACAATATCTCGTTCCAAGGTAGTGATTAGCTTACATGGGTCGAGTGGTGCTCGGGTTATATATTGCTTCCGATGCGGTGATTTATGCTTCCCCAAGTCCTCTGCATCTTACCCGCTTCACTTTCAAACATTCCTCTTTGCATGCCTCCTGATAACAAATCATTTGTTGTTCTTCATGGAGTTCCTCGCCATCCATCCATCCTTTGTGCCGCCACACCCCATGGATAACCCACCTTTTGTTGTTTTGTAGTCCCACACACTCCCTACCAGTGCCGCTATCATTACCCCTAACCATCACCACTCTAAACAACCATTTCCGACTATTTTGTTGTTGTTCGAGCTGCCCTAAATCATTACCTGTGCCACCTTTACTGATGTTCAATCCCTCATCCTTGCTGCCACCACTTAGAACAACTTTCATTTATGTTGTTCAGACAGGCTCTCAACATCGCCGTTTGTTGTCGCTTCACCATCTAGCCCTCCAAACCGCCAACCAACCACCTCTCTTATGGGATACAAACCTAGTTGAGTGTTGTGTGTTGTTTTCTATGCCTTTGTGTTGGTTGTAACCACCTATTTATTTTTTTCAGTAATTATATATATTTGATTAATATTATTTAGATTAACTATGATAACAATTGTTTTGCTCTTGAAAATTTGTTACGTCCAATTAAATATGGATCAATCTTTACAATAAAATTATTATAGATATTGAATTAGGTATAATGATCCTTGAAAATATATCTATCATTACTTTTTAAAATGTTTTTAAAATAAAGTATTTAAATAACATTATATATACCACAACTTTCTTGTATTTTTAAAAATATAACTTTTAATTTTTAATATTAGTTTTTTTAATATTTAATTGTCATGATGTTGTTAGAATATTATTTAATTAATTAATATTTATTTAAAACAATGGATTTTAATAAAGTTTTTGATGAAATGTTACAAAATTAAATATTATATAAGTTGATATCAAAATTTATGCATTAAATATATAAATACATGTTTTTAATTAAAAAAGATTTATATGCGTATCATATAATTATTATCTATTTAAATATCTAAAATTTATATTTTTAATTTTACACTTACATAATTTCATTTATACATGATAAGTATATTTCACTTTTTCTTATCTAATAATACTAATTTTTTTATACGACAAAATATTTGAGTATTGTAAATTTACGAAAATATTATATAATGCATTTAAATCACTATTTCTTTTCATATATGTTCACCTTCTTGTGCGTTTATTTTATATACAAAAAAAATAAAAACACTAAATAAAAAAATAAGGATTGACATTATACGCGCTAAAACCAACGGCAGAATGAACAGTCTAAGCTCATGTCGGTAAAAATGTCATATTTTCAGACGGTTTTGCGATGACTTATATGATGAGTTATTTCCGACGATATAACAAGACATACTGTTGCTTCCATTGGTTATAAACAGATAATAACCGACGACCTTATGTCTTCGGTTATTTACAAAACCGTCATTTGGCGGTGTGTTAGCCGACGAGGTTCTTAAAGAAGCAACGACAAATGTCGTTTCTATTAATATTAATAATCGACAAATTTAAGTCGTTTGTACGGTGTTGAAGATAATCTTTTATATCGTCAAAATCACGATGCTTCAGGTCTTGTCCTGATCCTCTTTCTTTCGGTCTCGATCTCTTCCCGTGCCCTAATTCTCCCATCCTCTCTCCCAACACTCAAGTGCTCCGACAACCGCAGCTCTGGCATCCATAGCTTCGGCGACGCCAACTCTGGCGAATTGGCTTCGGTGACTCCACCGCTCAATTTTGTTTTATTTATGGATGCTTTTACTGGACATTTACATGAGGACGTATCTCAGTGTATGTTTTTTGTCATTGATATTCTTCTTATGGATGAGAAAAGATGAGTGTTCGGCTGTAAGTAGGATTTAAGTTAAATAGGATTAAAATGCACTAGAATTCCAAATATTCAAAAAATGTTTATTATTATTATTTTGGCTTTTTATTAAATTTATATCGATACACTAAATAATCAAGACTTTACCTACAAAATAAAATTTGAACAAGATTCACAAAATAATATCAAAATTTGGGAAAAGGACGAGCATTATTCGCGGCATTCTTAGTCAAGATTTGCTTCAAAATATTTGATGCATCCTAAATAATTGATTGGTCATACATCAAAACTATAAATAATTTGATTGCAAATGGTTAATATTTAAGCCCGTCAATTATTTACTAACAATTTGCTCTCTTTCGGCCGAAATCGGAGAAGAAGTATTTATCATAATCAATCCGACCGACAAGCCTGCATCCATGTAGTTTTCTTTACGAGAAATGTGAGCTCAATGAGTAATAAGTTAAACCGAGACATAGTGATGGAAAATTACACTTTTAACCACTATATCACGTGTAAATGCACATAATTGCAATAGGTTATTTTGGCTCCATTACTAGTTAGAGTCATCGATCTCCATTCTCATTAAAAAACTTTGATTTTGACTCTAAAAAAATCCAATGGAGTCCCAAAAGAAGCACCAATTTTTAGCTACAAAATAAATTAAAAGGTTAAAACTTAGGGATAATTACATAAATATA